TAAAAAAAAAAAAAAAAAAAAAAAAAAAAAAAAAAAAAAAAAAAAAACAACAAACAGCCATTTTCTTTATTTACCCAATGATGGGCATGGGGCTGTTTCCAAGATTTAGCTTCTAAAAATTGTGCTGCTTTAATCATGGGTGTGCATATATCACCACGGTATAATGCTTTTAACTCTTTCAGGAAAATACCAAAAGAGGACAGCTGGATCAAATGGAGCCTCTAGTTTCCGTTTTTTGAGGAATCTCCCCACTGATTCTATTTATTATTTATTATTTATTTATTTTGGTACGGGGCAGGTGCAGCGCCATTAAACTAAATCCCAGCCCCTGATTTCCACAGTGATTGCACCAGTTTACACTCCCACCAACAGTGACAAGGGCTTCTCTCTCCCCACACCCCTGCAGCGTTTGTTATGGGTTAATTCCTTGATAGCAGCCATTCTTTCTGGGGTGAGGTGGAATCTCAGTGTTGTTTTAATTTGCATCTCTCAAAAGACCAGTGATGCTGGGATTTTTTCAGCTTTTTTTTTCTTTTTTAATAATGATGAAGAATGATGCTCTCTCTCAATGTTAACATCAATCAAATTAAACCAGTGTTTTTTTAGAGAGACTTTTTCCCTTCTGAGGCCAAGATACTGATGAACAGAAAGTAAACTCCTCTCAGATTCACTCTAAAAATGGTCACTGGCTGTTATTCCAGAGACGTGTTTCTCCCTCTCCATCAGCTCCTCACTATGCCAGGAAAGAGACCTGTGCTATATGGCCCCACAGCTCCCAGGGTACCACATGAAAGAAGTAATCAGGTAGATTCACTTTTTTTTTTTTTTGAGGTCTCAAACCCACAGCCTTTGCACTGAACTACATCTCCAGCCTTTTCATTTTTTATGTTGAGATAGGATCTGGCTAAGTTGTTAAATTGCCCAGACTGGGCTTGAATTTGACAGTCCTCCTGCCTCAGCCTCCTGTAGTGATGGGGTTATAGGCATGTGTCAACACACAAGGCATAAATTCACTATTTAGGGTTCAGTAAGAGCGAAAAGCAGACAGAGCTCTAGACTGCCTTTCTTAAATGTGAATTCACATAATGAAAGTAATCTTTAAATATATTTCATTAGCGCTTATTAAATTTACAAAATATTAAGTTTCGATATGGTATTTTCATACATGCATATAACATATTTTTATCCTATCTATTCCTCATTGCCCTCCCTTATACCTCCTCTTACTCTCTTCCCCTTTTCTAATAATAGACTCCCTTCTACTTTCCTGATGTTTTTAAAGATTCTATATATTAAGGAAAACAAGACAATATTTGTCTTTCTGAATCTGTCTTATTGTGCTTAACACGATGGCCATTTTGTTCTTTTTTCTGGCCACATAATAGTCCATTGTGTGTGTATGTGCATGTGTGTTATTTTCTTTATCCATTCACACATTTTAGAGCATTTCTCCAGAGCACAAGGATCTTTTCCACAGCTGCACCTTTTGAGAAACAGCTGTCCCTTGTGACAAGGCCACCAGAGCACTGCTAACCCATTTCAGAGTTGCTGGGAGCCACAGCCCTCCAGACAGACCAACACAGAGGCCTATTCTATCCTCAAAATACAATATCAGGGCATTAAATTCATCCTAGAAGATTGTGCCATTTTTTAAAAATCATTTTTATTGCATAAGCAGTGCTTGTGCCTATCATAGAAAAATTAGAAAGCACAGAAAAGCAGAATGAAGAAAAAGAAAATTCTCCCAGATGGGTCGAGCCCGGCAGAGAGGGTCCACCCGGGGGCTGTCTCCCTCATGTTCTTGTATAGCCCAGGTGCTGCATCTGTGGGCGCTGGAAGGACAACCGGCTGCTAGCTGGGCTCCTTCTCGCTTACTGCCGGCCTAGAGCGCTGAAGTGCAGTTCTCTCCTGTTCTGAGGCTTGAGCTGTGGATGATGGGGTCTGCCTGGACCCTCACCCCTCTCTCCTGGCTCCCTGCTCCCTCACGGAACCCTTCTTGGCTGAATGAAGCTTCTCAGAGCCTTTGCCCACCGGGGTCACACGTCCGGGAGCCCCCAGGTGGAGCGGGACGGTGCTCCAATCCCTTGAAACAGAGCTGTCTCCTAACCCAGGCTCAATGGCCTTCTCCCTGCAGCAGAGGGTGGACACCAAGGACAAATTACTTCATCCTACTCTGCATATTTTTTGTAACAGAAATTGCAAACGTCAAACATGGTGTCTTAAAAGGGTTCTTCTCCCCACACATTAATGACAGGGATGCTTTCTCTATTTCATTGAACGCAGAACTGGAGCACAGCTAGCCACAGAGAGCTCTCAGAGACCATGGATCTGAGCTCACTCATTTGAAACTGGGATGGGAAGTTGTCGGCCCTCAGGGGCTACCCAGAAGACAGCATACTCCAGACTTGCAGGTTTTTATTCCTGCCTTTGTTTTCTTAATCAACGGAAGCAGTGAAATGTACGGTTCAAGAGCACAGACTCTGAATTCGAGTCTAGCCTCACCGTTTACTTGCTGTGGAACTTTAAGCAGATTTCCTAACCTAAAATGGGGATAATTATAACTGCAGCTACCCTGTAAGGTTATTTTGAGCAATACATGAGTTAATACATGTGGAAATTTAGAAGTAATGCTTAATTATAAAAAGTGCTAAATAAGTCATAATTAATGGGTAAAGGTGCACCCTAACCACTAAAAAATTTAAATATGTAAACTATAGCTGGGGATTTAGCTCAGTGGTTCTGCTGCCTGCCTCACAAGCAGAAGGTCCCAAGTTCAATCCCTGGTACCAAAAACAAACAAACAAACAAATAAATAAATAAATAAACTATGGCTCCAATTTCACTATTTATTTCTCCCTCTCCCCACTTCCAAGCTAGTTTCCCTCTCTCTTTTTTATTTCCCTACCCCCAACTTCTCAACAGACCCGGTTAGGGAATAATTGTTTGATCTGAGAGACAGAT